CCAGTCTTTCATAATTCTTACCCCTTTACCACTTTTGATTTTACAGCCTCCCAGGTTTTACCTTCAAACATTAATACGGTGTCATCTGCATAGGATATTGCTATACCATTTATATCTAAGTTTAAAAGAGAGTTAATATAGATGATAAAAAGAATTGGACCAAGGACAGTTCCTTGTGGCACACCTATTAGAATTTTAACAGGATTACTAAATTAATTTCCAATTTTAACTAACTGTTCTCTCGTGTAGGTAGTTTTCAAAAAATTTTAAAATCAATCCTCGAATGCTATAATGTTCAAGAACATTTAGTAGTTGCTTGTGAGGAACAGTGTCTAAAGCTTTCGCGAGGTCGATAAATACACTTATATTTGTATTTTCATTCTCAAGACTGTTTTTTATATTAGATATCAATTCATACATGGCATCACAAGTGCTAACACCTTTTTGGAACCTGAACTGTTTAACATTTAAAATCTTTTTATCAATTAGATATATATAATCTTTTTTTTAAACATTTTTCAAACATTTTTGCAAAATAAATAATCATACTTATTGGTCTGTAATTTGACACATCTTTTTTTGGATCCGTTTTTAAATACTGGATTTACAATTGATATTTTATGTTCTTCCGGTATCTTACCTGTTGTAAAGATTAGGTTTATAATGTGCATTAGAGGCTCTATTATGTATCGGTGACCAGTTTTCAACATTCTAGATGTAATTCCGTGAATCCCAGGAGCACTGTTATTTTTTAATGAATTTATATGTTTTATTAATTCATTTTTATTGACAGGATTTAATGCCATTGAATTGATTAGAGGTGGATATAAGATTAGGAAGTCATCTACAGAATTGATTTTAGTTGCCATATCTATACCAATTTTTGAAAAATACTTATTGCAGTAGTTGGCCATTTCTTTGTCATTTGTAAATTGTTTATTATTGTTTAGAATATTAAAATCATTGTTTGTTTTGGTGTTCATTTGAAGCTTCTTTAACTATTTTGAATATTTTTTTAATATCATTGTTACTATTTTGAATTTGAATTGTATAATAATCATTTTTAGCTTTATTATTTTATTTAGTTGGTTACGATATATCCTATATTCTCTAGAAGATTGTTGTTTTTGGTTTTTAATATTTTCTTTTTAATTTTATCCCTATGTTTAATAGACATGATGATGCCTTGACTTATCCATGGTTTTATTGTTTTATAAGTATTATGCCTATTAGTTATATTACATTGTTCTTTTAGGGAATATATTATTTCAATAAATTTCTGGTAGGTCAAAATTGGATTGCTAAGGGAAATGACGTTGTCCCAGTTTACATTTTTTAATAATTTTGTAAATCTATCTATATTGGTGTATTGTGTTGTATGTTGGTTTAATGTATTATGGTTAAAGTTTCTTTCGTTTGTTGTAATATTTAAAAAAAATTGGCCAATGATCAGTTAGATCAGTGTCAATTACCAACGATTTAAATGAAAAATTTTTATTTGGCATATTATTTTTTATAAAAATATGATCAATACATGATTTCGTTTCTACAGTAACCCTGGTGTATGAATTAATATATGATACAAATCCCAAGGAAGATAACATTGCCAAATATCTGTTATTTGGTTTGAGGGATCAAGGATATTAATATTAATGTCACCAATAAATATATCCATTCCTAGCCTTCTTGGTATATTATTTAAGAATTTTAAAAATCTGTAAGAAATGTATCATCTGATGGATGGAGATTTATAACAAGGCATTACTGTATAGGGCACACCATTATGACTAAATGTTATTGAGCTTATCGTTACATTTGATAGAGGCAACTTTGTATGTTCTATTTCAAACTGAATGTTGTTTTTAATATATATAACTACACCATCACATTGATTATTCACACTTTCATTAAATATATTGATAAAACCAGGTATAATTAAATTATCAAGTTCAATAACATTATGTGTTTCTCCTAATATTATTATATCCAAGTCCTTTAAACCCGAGTTTAAACCAAAAATTTCCAAAAATACTAAAAAGTTGTCAAATTTTTTTTTTATACTTCTAATATTCAAATGCAATTTTTTTTATTAAGGTTGTTAAATGATTATTGCAACTGATAATATTTAAAAAAATTGTCTATTGCAATCATTCAGATTGTGTTTATTATTATGCAGACAGAGCTGTTGCACCAGCTGCCGCATTAGAAAGAAGGAGACAACTGCTAATTTGAATGGGAATATAAAATTGATCTATTGCTGCATTTCTCTTAATTTTTACTTATTGATCTCTGATATCTAAAGACATGAGACAACTCAAGTTTACATATGGTACTTAAGAGCAAGCCAAACATCTCGAAAAATTTATAATTCCTCCTGAGCCTTTATTTTTAGTTCGATTTTTATGAAATTTTCAATATTTATTTTGAAAATTATTAAAAGGAATTAAAAAAAAAACATTTATGTACCCATTCTTTATTAAAGCTTTGAAAGTTAGCACTATTTGTTTTAATAAATACCTAATAGTTTTTAAATGGATTTCACACCTTTTTTTTAAACATCTCTGTAGATTGCTGCCTTATCATTGTAGAAATTTAAAACTCTCAATATTCTCAAGACATAATATCACAAAGTATTCCCAGTGGCTCGCATATAAATACAATTTTACATTAGAAAATCCTAAAAATATTTTTGCTTTTGTGAGAGGTCTGGTTTGCTCTTAAGATATTACAAATTTTAACAAATAAATAAGATGAACAGGTTAAAAACAATTGTTGTATGATAGTATATCTGGTAAAATTACATTCATAACAACTATCACATTTTTTTAGAGCATCGAATGCCTCAGTTTTGGCAATATTACGTTTTACTTTTAAAATACAAAGAATGCATAATATAAAATTTAGGACTACTTAATAATGCTCAGTTTGGTGTCAAAGCTCCTACATATTTCACAGAAATATTAAAATGATTTTAAATTTCAATGTTCTGTGTTCATTAGTCACTTTTTTATAAATATAAAGACTGTAAAAAATAAAAAGTATAGAGTTTCTAGTAATAAGATATATAAAATAATTCTTGAGAAATTTCCTTAATAATTCCTAAAATAAGTAAAAATAATTAAAGTAAAAAGTGGAGAAAAATAAAATTAGAGGTCAATTTACATTTACTTATTTCTATAATTTTCAAGATTACATTCATTTAAAATTATACTAATGTAATAGTTACATTAAAAATAATTTGTTTAGGTAGATACATACCTTTAAACTACTTTTTTACAATTTGCAGACAATTAAAAAAAAAACAACAAAATATTCAAACTGTATAATGCCAAAATCAATAACAGAATGGTCTGTTTTTGTTTGACACACACATTACTTCATACTAATGCAAGGTATATCTAAATTCCTCCTAAATTTACTTAGAAATGTGAAATGTAAAACTACTGGCCAACTGTATATAACCTCAAATATGTTATACAACACTTAATTCCTCAAATTAAAAAAATAATTTGATAGAAAGAAAATTAAAAAAAAAAAAACTGATATTTATTACTTTTACTACTTTTTGGCCTATAAATTTCCAAAATTGTTAAGTATACTAATATCCAAACCTATTTAAAATAAGGTGTATTTATAAGGCTGGTTTAACTCCAGTCAAATAGATTTTGAAATGAAATAATAGAAAGAGTTTGCATAGCTGTATCTTTTTGAATAAATAAATTGTTATAAATATGCTAAATGACAATTTTGGTAGCCAGGTATCCTGCTTTATTTAATGCATTTGCACAATCAGTGTGTAGATAACATCTTGTTTATTATTTTCAATAACACAATATGCATTCACTGCAGAAACACAAAGATTAGTGATTGTGGATCTATCACTGAAAAATTCCCTGTTTACTTTCACTGATTAAGAGTCCAAACAGAATAAATATTGTAAAAAAAACATGTTTATCCAAATTATTGTATAAATACACCAAAAGGATGAGCATTTTCAATGTTTCTCTGATTCCCTCTTTGAAATATAAATGATTTAGATTTAATCAAAACATCTGAATAACCATCAAATACATACACAAATATGTGTTAATAGTTGTTTTGATATTTTCTCTCCTTCTGTTCCAGATTAGTGTTATAAGATTCATATTTTTAACTTCTTCAAGTTACATAAACATCATAGATACTGAAATAACTTGATTTTAAGTATTTTAAATAAAAATGTGTTTAAGGTTCTGTAATTTTATCATAATTTGCAGAATGTTTACATAATTGCTTCAACAAATATAGGATTTAATAGCAACAGCTTTTAATTAAATATAAACTCTTCATCCTATTGTCATAAATCAAAACAGCATTAAATATAGGTATACCATTCTTGTTTAAAAGGAAGTGTTTGAGATTAGATTAAACAATTACATTCCTATGATGAGATATGAGATGTAATTGCAGATAATTTGTTTGTATACACATACATTTGTATACAATTACAAAAGATATTTCAAATGGCAATTTTAAGCACAAAATTATTTATTTATATATTTGCAGGCAAGCCCATTTAAGTTACAACAAGTTGTTAAAAATTACATTGGTGTATTTTGAATGTTGGGTTTAAATATATTTAAAGAAGAATCAAATATATTATCCAGAGAATTTGCCAGTCTAAGTATCCGAGGAATACAACTGTTAAAAGAGCTATCACGTCTATCTTCCATTAACAATATTAAAAAGTAAAATCGGATCTCTATGTTTTATTCTGGTTTTCAGAGAGGGTATTTTTAAAATAAAATAATATGAAATGATCTTCAATCAATAACTTCTATGAAATGTTTATTAAATCTGGAAATTGCATAATCAGTAAATGAATATTATACATTCTTATCGCAGCATGGGTTTTTAAAGTTTAAATGCACAAATAATGATACAAAAGGTGACTGAAGGTAATCTGGTAGGTACATATCTTTAAAATGGTGTGCAATATTAATAAAAAATATTAGACTTACTTGTGTATCACCAGTCTCTCCTGCAAGTCCTTGTGCCCTTGTTGCAATAGTCATATTTTGATTTATTTTCAAATTACCATTGTAGTCTTAACTAAAAAGTAACAACACTTTAATGATTCTATTGTTAATAAACAACACTTCCATTTAAAGGAATACTAAGTTTTATATACAGCGGTGATTTAGAGTTAGAAGGTAATTAGAGAAGTGCGGAACTTGATATTAATATTTAAACTACGAGAATGATAATTTTAGGAAGAAAAGTTTATCTAAAAAATAATTGGGAGTGACAGAAGTGACAGGCCTATAAATCAGATTTATATTAAACATTTCTTACCTCTATGTTCATAATTTGGCCAACTGTTGGGCTGCTAATGAAGCGGACTTCTTAAAAAGCTCATAAAATAACTTTTTACTGCCCGACACTTCTAATATTTGACAAGTCCTATGTAAAATCCACCGGCATATACAAAATGGCGCCCCAAAATTAAGGAATAAGATTATTCTAAAAATATCTCTCACTGGGTTATATTAACCAAAAACGAATATTATTTTACACATAAATATACTTATACACTAGGAGATCTCCAAATTGATTTCTCAAGAAATTCCTAGTTGTTGACGTACGGAATTATTTTTACAGGCACGTCGTGATTTGCAAATAGAGTTGCCAATCTTGCAGTTTGATAGTTTATTTCGTTATTTTCGTTTTTTTGTTGGCTCTACTGCCGTTCGATTTTCGAAGTTAGCCATTTTTCGCGACTAGGCACTGTAACATTTATCAGTGCCTCAAAATACTCCTCACATTACCCTTTTTATACAATCTAAAGTATTATCTTATTTATATTATTGATATACCTACAAACAAATTCAATTCAATTCGATCCTGTTTTAGATCCCTACAATTCATTATATTAAATGTAGGTATTGCAATTTTCCAAGTGAAATTGCCTTTATGAACATTACAATTTTTGATCTTAAACTAATTCGATATATAATTATAAAATATTTTTTATTTTTTATCGATTCAAAAATGACGATATTTAAAAATTAACGGAGAAATTTTTTACTTCAGTATTGGCTATTCTGCTTTTCCATAAATATTACCTGCAGGTTATGCAACTTATTTTACAGTTTGCATATATAGGGTGGCCACTTTTTAATTGGCGACACCTGTGGGCGAGACAAAAGTTGGGACTGGGTAAACAGCACATCCCCAACTAGCCATTCATAAAAGTGTATTTGTTGTGAAGTTCTCATCATCATCTATTGTATAGTCCAGGAGACAGTAACGATTTTCGGTATTTATTTTCCCAGTCAGCAAGCAGGAATAGAGAATTGCAGGATTAGCAATTCTAAACAAAATTCATATATATTTAGAGGGGGGATCCGATGGGCTGAGGCCGAAAATGCGTCAAAACATACGAGAACACGGCCCTTTTTTCCATTGATAAAAATAGTTTTAGTAGAAAGAGATGTACTGAAGTTAAGTAAAAAAATAGTCTGATTAATCTGTATGGATAATATATTTGGCAAGTGCATAAAATACACTTTCAAACGAGTTATGTACACAATTATTTCTACGACCACAATTATTTAAAGAATGTTCCAGGTGTTTTGTATATTAAAGTGTACGCATAGGACACATAAATAAAATCTTATATCACAATGTTTCACCTAACCAGTTGGTTTATTTATAGAAATTAAACATAATAATTGAAGATATTACAGAAGAAAATAGGGAAATAAATTACATTTCCTTTTACACTTTTATATAATAATTGTTTTATTTAGAATTCACGAATCACTTATTAAATTATTTATTGTTTCGGCCTTTACTTGATGAAAATCCATTTAATTTTGAAAGAGTAAAACCAAATTTGGTAGATATTCACACTTTTATTTTAAAAATAAAAATTTTTAAACAAACACTAACATGACATATGTTTCGAAGTACAACTTCTTTTTCAAATGTGACTATTTACAATTCGGTATCCAATATATATACAAAATAATTTAACAAAACAAAGTACTTAAGAAAACATCAATAACATTACAAAATAAACTAACTATTTAAAGTAAATAAGGGTACTTAGGTAATTATAATATCCATCAAATAACAATAAGATAGCCCATTACTGGGATTATCTCACAGAAAACTGGGAAAGAGGTTTAATAAGGGTGAATTATTAATATCTAATTGATCATTTAGTAAGTTATCTGAATTTTTAAATCTATTTATTTCAAGTGTTTCTAAATGGTTTAATTTAAGGCTCTTATTTTCTACATGTAAAATTTCAAAGTTGTCTGTAAAAGAATGATTTTCAGCTAAAATATGATTTGAGTAAGTAGAATTATTTTTGTTTTTTGTATAGCTATTATAATGTTCGGAATAGCGTTTTTTGAAAGTACGGCCTGTTTGACCAATATACAATTTTGGACAACTACCACAATTTAATTTATATACCCCCGATTTATTATTAGGATTAATTTTACCCTTATTGTTTTTAATATACTTCCCAAGCGTATTATTGGTTTTAAAAGCTACGTTAATATTTTGGTTTTTTAAATATGATGATACCTTTTCACTAGGAGCTCCTATATATGTAAGACTCTTATATCTGCAATTTGGATCTTTAATTATGGGATAAACTTGTTGAATAGCCTGTTTGCAGATATAAGAGTCTTACATATATAGGAGCTCCTAGTGAAAAGGTATCATCATATTTAAAAAACCAAAATATTAACGTAGCTTTTAAAACCAATAATACGCTTGGGAAGTATATTAAAAACAATAAGGGTAAAATTAATCCTAATAATAAATCGGGGGTATATAAATTAAATTGTGGTAGTTGTCCCAAAATTGTATATTGGTCAAACAGGCCGTACTTTCAAAAAACGCTATTCCGAACATTATAATAGCTATACAAAAAACAAAAATAATTCTACTTACTCAAATCATATTTTAGCTGAAAATCATTCTTTTACAGACAACTTTGAAATTTTACATGTAGAAAATAAGAGCCTTAAATTAAACCATTTAGAAACACTTGAAATAAATAGATTTAAAAATTCAGATAACTTACTAAATGATCAATTAGATATTAATAATTCACCCTTATTAAACCTCTTTCCCAGTTTTCTGTGAGATAATCCCGGTAATGGGCTATCTTATTGGTATTTGATGGATATTATAATTACCTAAGTACCCTTATTTACTTTAAATAGTTAGTTTATTTTGTAATGTTATTGATGTTTTCTTAAGTACTTTGTTTTGTTAAATTATTTTGTATATATATTGGATACCGAATTGTAAATAGTCACATTTGAAAAAGAAGTTGTACTTCGAAACATATGTCATGTTAGTGTTTGTTTAAAAATTTTTACTTTTAAAATAAAAGTGTGAAAATCTACCAAATTTGGTTTTACTCTTTCAAAATCACTTATTACTCTACATTAATTATATCTAATTATTGTTAGTTTCGTTATGTCAAATCATTTATACTAGAGGTGTGAGGAAAATACAGTGAACTGTGGAACGCCAATATCGTTGGATGCGCGTGGTAGAAATGGTCCTATAATACTGCTAAAAACATAGCTAAATTTTCATGGAAACACTGTACTTTTGACATTTGCGATACTCCGACGCATATGCATTATTGATGTAATCTCATGATTTTACAGTAATAGTTTTTGCAATTTTAGTGTGTTTTTTAGGTTATTATGGTTATTCATTTTATTTGGTTCTGATCTTTTGCGCTTTTAGAGTAATAGCAATACGTCCTGGTTCAGGGTGTGACTTTTGGGTTTTAGCTATCTGAGCCAAATTGTCGTCTAAGTGTCCTCTTTTAGGGCACCCAGAACCGAAAACTATATAGGTATATAATATGTTTTTTTTTTAAATTATTTTTTAATATGTATGCAGCTTGGATGAGGGCTTTAGGAAGAGATCCTAAGACTGAACAATGACTGCTATAAATGCCGTTTTTAGAGCACATTTCATAGTAAGTGATTTCATTCTAGCAGCAATGAGGAAACGTTTAAAAAACATGCTGTACCAGCTATTACTTTAAGACCTCGTCTCTTTAAGTTATTATTACTTCATTCTAATGCATATATTAAAATGGTTTTTAACTTATGTCCTTATGATTAAAAGATGTAGGTATTTTAGTTATATGTTATAATAGAAATATATGATACTTTGTATTGACTGACCTACTGGCCACTGGTCATTCCACTTTTACTCCCTTTTTTTTATAAATTATCAAATTATTTAAAAACAAATACATACCTAGCTATTTTCTGTAAATTACATTAAAATTTTAGTATTAATACTTTACTAATAAAACTTCAGTTAATTTATCTTACATATATACACAACGGAAGAGTTAATTGGATTTTCTCCTTGTTGAGTTTCAAAAATAGTAATTTAATTTAAAACAAATACATGAAATGGGCAAAACAGGCCTGCAAAGGCACTTTGTAAACAATCTCACTTGTATCGATGTGACGTAATGCGCGAATTCAATCTGGCTTACTTTTGTTAATAGATTGGCGTTTCATTTTAAATATACAGTTCACCGGGAATAGATTGTTTAAATATACATGGACCGGGGAAACAAGTACGAAAAAATCCACTGGCTCCTGGACTAGTACTGTATCGAAGGAATTTTTATGAATGAAACAATATACGACCCTCCACAATTGCGGTCTACTCTACTTCCGCTGTTGTCAGACATGATTTTTTTGTGGACAATTTAAAGACCTAACAGTAATTCAAGCAAACGCAATAACATTCCTACAGTTAAAAACATCGCAAACTTGGCATCAATATTTTAATTTTATCCAAATATTGCATTTCTGTCGAGGATCATCCGCGTTGACTTCAGAAATTGTGTAATCTGTATTGGTTATATATATCTATAGTTAAAAGCACGTAAACTTGGCATCAATGTTCAATCCGATTATTGAGTTTCTACCGCGGACACCACCGTTCATTCTTCAAAAATTTTGTAAATAATCCTATCTGTCTTGGTTATATATCTATGGTAAACAGTTGTATTTCGAGGCTCAATCTGACGTTTTGAAAACCAAATCACCAGGGACGGTTTCCGAGATATTCGATAGGAAACAAATTACAAATTAGTTCGATTTCTTTATTCTATTTCAGCACGTTTAGTTTTAAAAATAGAGAAAAGCTTATTATTCACGGTGCTTGGGAACCAACTTTAAATGAAAAGTTTATTTACTAGACTTTTTTTTCGGTCAAAGTATTTCTGAAGGGCTGTAGATTGGCGCAATATATTTTTTAAAATCGGTTCCAGCAGCCGTTTTTGAGAAAACTCGATTTTTAATGAAAAAGTGACCTTTTTTTTACTTTTTTGCTTGTAACTTGCGCATTTCACATTTTCTCGGCTTGCCAAAAGTTAATTTTAATGGGAAAATGTCCGCTCTACAAAAAAGCACCAATGACTTTTTTCTCTAAAATCAGCCGATTTGAGATCTCATTTAACTCAAAATCGGCTGATTTTAGAGAAAAAATTAATTGATGCTTTTTTGTAAAGCGGACATTTTTCCATTGAAATTTACTTTCGGCAAGCCGAGAAAATGTGAAATGCGCAAGTTACAAGCAAAAAAGTAAAATAAAAGGTCACTTTTTCATTAAAAATCGATTTTTCTCAAAACCGATTTTAAAAAATATATTGCGCCAATCTATAGCCCTTCAGAAATACTTTGACCGAAAAAAAGTCTAGTAAATAAACTTTTCATTTAAAGTTGGTTCCCAAGCACCGTGTATTTATGGTTTTTTTATTTTATATCGTGTTGTGCATTATTTCTGGAGAGGAAAAATGGACGAGTTCAACTCGTAACTGCTATCCAAACTTTTGTCGATTTATACGGTTATATTGCACACAGCAATTAACTGAACCTATCGATTTGATTATATTTTATGTTAAATGAATACCTATTTGATTTCAAAAATATGTTATCTGCCACCGTTATATTATGAACTGAGTTAAAAAATATTTGATTTATTTAGTGCCTTGTTAATTGAAATCGTTGGAAATTATTGACAAATTCAAATTGTATACAAATCATAGGTTAGGCGCCCGCGTGCAGTACACGCGCGATTACGGGGGCTCTAATCTCAACAGCTATTCACAATTTCTTAAACTATTTACTTAAAAATGTTATTAGCATCTATAAAATAATTTTCTACGTCAATGTATGGGGCTTTTACTTTGGTTAGCTCCATGTAAAACTGTCAAATTCTGGGTGTTAAGTGGGAGAACTGTCTCTAACACACAAACGTTCTTATCTGCTATAGTGTACAAACACATATCTTCATACTATATCGTAAGTCTGGAGGTAGCTGACCCTCTTACTATTACCACCGGTTTATGATATATTTCAATTAAAAAGTGACTAAACTCATACTAAGAAAGGTAAACTCAAGTTTGCAGCCTTGATTTTCAATGAAAAGGATGAAAAAAAGCCAAATAAACAGTTTAAAATCTTTTATTTTTAGATTTTATAACTATTTTCAAATTACAGTCTTTATCTATCTAAATCTTTAAATTGTTGATTTTCAATAAAATTACAATTCGTTTAAAAGAACATAATAGAAAACGTATTTGATACGAATTTAAAAACAAGATTACATAGAGACAATTTAAAAGATAACAGTAAGTATAAAAAGACAAAAACACAATTGTAAAAAATTATTAAAAATAGAATAGTTAAAATAATAGAGGTTATACAATATTATAATAAAATATTTTATAAAATAATATATAAAAGTAAGAAGTGTTAACTAATATGCCTAAAAATTTATAATAAATATATAACTAGGCATCAAGAAGTCGTTTTTGAATCGTTTAGTTTTCTCGATATTCTAAACTTCATCTCCTCAAACCTAAAAATGTAACAATAAATAAAATCAAATTAAAACTTTTTTCCCATTAACTTACTTTTGCTTTATTCGAGCCACCTCCCTTTCCTCTTGCGAATAATATTGCGCCAGAATAGCCCTACATTCGGCTAGTGTAAGATTCAAAAATTGCGCGACTTCACTGCTAACTTCAGGCGTGTTATGGCTGTCCATCAAATACAACCTGGCGACGTCCTCATGCGGCCCCAAAAGCACCCTGGCCAACAAAGGATATTCGCTCTCTTTTAACCTGCGTTGCTCTAAAAATTAGAAGAAAAACAAATACATACATCTGGTACAACAGAAAATATTGATACAGGACATGACAGATCGAAACATTTGATGCAAAACAGATGTATGTATCTTGATAGATTTGACAAAATGACTATTTTGATGTTCCTGGTTTTATTATTTTATCAATATAATTAGTATTTTGTGACATAACAAAAGCTTTTGATTGTGTAAATCATAAGATATTATTGGAAAAGATAGAAAAATATGGTTTTAGAGGAATTGCATTAAATTGGCTTGGGTCATTTTTGTCAGGTAGGTATAAAACAGAATCTTTGAATAAGCAAGTTCCTAAAAAGTGTCCTGTTCTGTGTGGGGTTCCCCAAGGATCTGTTTTGGGTCCCCTTCTTTTTCTTATATGTTTTAATGACATGGCAAATTTAAATATAGGTGGAGAAATCAAAATTTTTGTAGATGACATTAATATTTCATGGCATGCCACAAATTCAACTGTTTTATCTGAAATGATTAATTCTGATATAATCAAAATTAAAAATTGGTGCGATGCTAATCTTCTCTCTTTTAAAATTTTCAAAACGAATATTATGACTTTTAAATGTCAATTATCGGATGTTTATTTGTAAGGAAATGTTATTGATAGCAGGTAAGAAAATAAGTTCTTGGGCTCCATATTTACTATAATTTAAAATTTGGTAATCATGTAGATAAGTTATGTATGAAATTATCTTCAGGATGCTTTGCTTTAAGGCTTGTGGCAGCACATCTCAGTTTTTCAGCTGCAAAAAGTGTGTATTTTTCAATAATTGAGTCATATTTAAGATATGGTATTTGTTTTTAGAAGTCGGTGTGCTTTAGAATTAATTAATAGGGTATTTGTTCTCCAAAAAAGAGCTGTACATTATTTATGTAAAGTTTCTGCAGACAGCTCATGCAGACCTCTATTCTTACAGCATAAAATCTTCACTATAATGAATTTGTACATTTTTGAGATATGTTTGCTTGTGTTTAAAAAATATAAAAGTTATATACGATATTATTGAATCACAAAACCAGATTAACTTATTATGTACTATAATTACTATAATCTTGCAGAGTTCTTTAATGACCCAATGTAACTGATTTAATTCATTTCACATGTGTATTAAATTGTTACTTGTTTTTTATTTATTTTAACAAATGTCTGACTGGATACTTTATTTTATACCTACTGTTTTGTTTTTCTACATCTTTGCCAACAAGATTCTGTCTTTGACAATAAAGCATTTTTTGATTTGATATCTCTGATTTCCTAAATAGCAATCCAAACGAATATCGAGGGGTGTTTTTATGATGAATCTGTTCATATTTAATTACTTCTAAATTAATATTTTATAACTATATTAGTAATAAAACTATATTTCAATGTTTTTTGACCGAATTCTGTATGTATATAAGTACAATAAACTATTTATTTATTTACCTCCATTATCTCGAACGATGAATAGAGCAAAGTTCTGGGGATCACTTTCAACTTTGTATTTTTCTAATAACAAATTGATAACTTCACCGGTATTGACAAGTGACGTGACCCATACGCTCATCTGGCTACCGTGAGGAGGAGTAAAAAAGCTTGTTTCTCTGTCATAGAAGTGACCGTTTATGGAACACCTTCGTTTCACTTTACTCCTGGATAATCTCGTGCCTGGGCGACGTTTTATGGCTGTAGAACCTTAAAAAAAAGCCTGTAAAGTCCATCTGATTATCTTAAATAGAAAACCAACCTTTGTGAGGTCTCCTGAGCACCACTTCTTCATTTTGTTCTGATAAGGTTATGTCGGTACTCGTCATGCTGCTTCTGTCAAATTCAGGAGACAAGCCGTCTCTGACGCGGCCTAAGCAATCGGGCCCGGACATGGATCTGTTTAAATGGTTGCTTTGCGATAACCAAACGTCATCTTTGCTGAGAGGCGACGACAAAAGAGGGACTTTATCTTCGCTAATAGTGCCGTTGGTTAGAGGAGCCTTTAAGGTTTCAGAGTCTCCTAGCGTTAACGTGTCGCTTTTGACAGTTTGTGATACACTAAAAAAGAAGGGATATTAGTAACTTTAATTTAAAGAAGGGAGCTAAAATAGGTTCCATATTCAAAGCAACTAAAAATCATACTGTAAAATTTTTCTCAGGTCTTTTATATGATATTATGTACATGCCCCTATTTTTTTTTTATTTATAAATTTTAATTATTTATTTTAGATTTACATATACATTTTATATTTTAGTTAGTCACTTAATAATAACAACTTTAGAATGAAAAATAAGCACCTAGGTGTATCCACCTGTGTGTGTGCTATAGTATAAAAATAACAAACTAAAGTATAAATTTACAGAACGACATTATATAATATCTATATCGCGATAACAAAGAAAAAAAATATATTTTTTCAATATCTGTCAATTTACAAAATATCCTGTGGTTACAGATCGTTGACTGGCATGCTGATATGTTTAATTTTTTTATTATTGGATTTTAGATTGCTTAGATAGCCAAGATTAGGTACTGTCACAACTCATAAAAATCCTTATTTGAGTTATGTCTATTTACCATTGTTGTTATGACATTTGCAGTACCGCAGGGCTCCAACCTATGTTCACTATTATTTCTCATATATCAGGTACTTAGCTTTTAATGGAAAGTTGCATATTAGTGTTAAATTACAATGATTGTCTAGCACTACAAAATGATTTGGATAGGTTGGACCAGTGCGGTGGCACTTACTTCATTTAGTCTAAATGTAAAAGTAACTTTTTGTCATAAACACTAATATTTTATTGTACTATTGAGAACATTATCTAAAAGAGAGCCAAACATTTAAAGATTGACATAAGTAGTAAGGTCTACATCTAAATTGCTGGGGTACTATATATAAATCGTTTATTTGGTCAAAAAAACTATTTTTTACATGTCAATACATCGTCACATTTAAAATAAAAAAAATACATAAGTATATAATCAACATACATTTAAAATACAATAAAAAATACATAAGATATAGTACACTTAAATGTCAACTATACAAAACATAATAAAAGAACCTTAAAAAAACGTCAATTGGTCAGCAAGTACTCACGCAGTTTTCTTTTAAATATTGCTGCATTTGAAGAACATTTAATATCTTCAGGCAAATTATTAAAAGCCTGTAAACCTTTTAAAAACACTTAATTTTGGGTACATTTTTTCGTGGCCTCATAAACATACGAACAGCTCAGTATTATCCTCATACCTCTATTCTGCAACTTTTGCAATTGTTGCAACTCATTATGATTGAGCAATTACTATATGATAAGAGTTGGATAGTTTTGCAGATACTTATACTAAACCTTAAATCAGTATATTCATCATTTATAAGGAGCAAACTTGAATATGATTATTTATGAAACTGCCCAACGTAGAAGGTTAAAATATAATATGTACTACAAATTTTTTTTTTGATAATTATGTAGAAAGAGGTTTTCGACATTCTATATTACTTAAAACTTTTAATCTTGATACATTAAATTATCGCCGCCATGACAGTAATTTTAACATCAAAAATTTTACAATTCTAGATCATCTCGACTCGATACCACTTTTTAGAATTTGAATTATTGTAGGACGAATATATTGCCTAAGTCATCTGTAATATGATGTGTAGTATATTAAGTGTGATTGCAGCACCCCTTATAATTTTCAGACATAGATATCTCAAAAAGTAATTTTTTTTAAATTAAAAATTTTGGCAAAATAAATTTGACAATAATATCTAGAATATACAAATATATTAGATTTTTAACTCTTTCTAATTTCCGAGAAAAAAAATCAAAGGGCTTTAAATTTTGAAATATATTGAAAATAAATGCATTCCTCAACAGCACTATTGTTAATATAATCCCCAAATTTGGGCTCTTAATGTCTTGTTGTTGATTTTTTAAAATTCGCCAAAATTAGTGACTAAAACGCCTCGATAAGTGCTATCTTCTAATGTACACTAGTACAAATCGTTGCAAGAAACAAATGATGACTGAGTGTGTAGGATACGATAGTTACAGGCGCGTTATATCAGAAGATAGCACTTAACGAGGGGTTTTAGTAACTAATTTTAGCGAATTTTAAAAAATCTCATCAATAAGACACTAAGAGCTTAAATTTGGGGATTATATTAAGAATAGTGTTGTTAAGGAAAGCATTTATTTTCATTATGATATTTCAAAATTTAAAGCCCTTTGATTTTTTTTCTTAGAAATTGAAAGGAATTAAAACTTTAAAATATATGTATATTCTAGATATTGCCTTATTTATTTTGCCATAATTTTAAATTTAAAAAAAATACTTTTTGAAATATCGTTGACCGAAAATTATGAAGGGTGCTGTATTCACCTTAATAAATTAATGATTAATTTCTGATCATTGTTGAAACAAACTCGTTATTTCTGTTATGTGCAACCTGCCAAAATAAAGTATTTATTTATTTGTCCTATTGTCTAAATGTGGTGCGTCAGCGTTCTCTGGTTGCTATGGCGAGTGGAAGAGACCAAATTGTAACATATAATTTATGTGATATTCATATTATGTAGGTTTTATTGATTTTTTTTATTATTCTACATTTTAAAATTATAAACCTTATCTATCTTTTACTTGATGTAGGTGTATGTAACTAAAAATGACAAAGCATTATTATTTTTATTATCAAGTATTAACTGTACAAAAAATTATTTCCTAAATAATGTTTTTATTTTTATTTGGTTTCTTTTCTCCCTTGGTTGTTCAGGAATTTATTCCTAATTTCATACCCATTCTTTAATTTAAACATGGGGTAATTTTCTTCGCTTCTGACCTTTATTCTACACAAATAACATTTTTATGCATGTAATCTTGTAGTCGACGTAGACTTCGTTAGCTTTAAGAACATGCCAAGCACGTCACTAACTACAAAAAAGCAGTGGGGTATAAAAAGTTTAAACAATATGTTGTATGCTAAAGTATACAGCAAAAAAGCAAAAACAAAATATTAAGAATAATAAATAAATACACGATGACTTTGTTTTGTCGTTGGTAGAACAATAGTAATGGTGCGAGATTCACTAATCCAACGGCAGTGGATTGGTGACGTGCTTGGCCTGTTCTTAAAGAAAATGAATTCTAGTATAGTTAATTTTATAATGTGGCAATTAACTACAAATTTCAATAATAGCATGACCATATTTTTTTAGCTCCCCTAAGATAAATAAAAAAACAGAGAAGTCATGTATTATATTTTTGTCTTATTTGTTACCTACGTTTCAGTAAATTTGTATTCATTACTGCACAATAATGGTGTAAAGATATATGAAGAACTACAATATAAGTTAAAATTATTTCACATGACATTGAGAGGTGAGCTTTGTAAGGGGTTTTCTCGCCATAGAGAAAACGGTTCCTTACGAATGACGCTGGTTACGGCGGTTCTCGAGCGCCATATTTTTGATGATGGTTTACTCCACAGACTTTCGAAACGGCGTCGAAAGTACTCGGGTAGCTACAGATGGAGATGAAAAATTCAAGGGGTCAAAGATCACTTAGATAGTAGGCCACAAGTAACGGGCTTTAATCGTTGCTTGGGCTCGTACAGAATTTATCACTAGCTGAAATATAATGGGGAAATAAAGTAGGGAATTATTAACCAGTAATACGGCAGGTTAACATTGATACATATATTGTGAATAACTATTTACAACAAAAAAAAAAGAAATTAAATATTTCAACGCCCACCCAGTTGTGGTGATAGTCAATATAACCCTGAATAAATAAAAAAAAAAGAAACAAAACGGACGGTATTGATTTGCGACTAGTCTCAATCAGACGTCAAAATTAAATTAAAATAAAATGTATGTTTCTGTCGCAGAGAAAAAAAAATTATTAACTTGGCTATTTACTCGGTAAATAACTGTTTAACCGCGGTATCGGGAATTAAACTAAAATGTAGGTATTTTGCTATTTAGGTGAAGAAAAATTAGCTAAACGGTCGAAGAGATTGCGAGGAGACAGGGACGCAAAAGAATTACTTATACACGGAAAGAAAATAAAAATAAATTTATACCCGGGGTAGCCTATTATCCCAGAATGAGCTGATCGTCATCACGAGCCCGCTCAGACAGGGCAATGAAGCTATTTTTGAGATCTACAACTTGCAGTTTGCACGAAAAAAAATGAAGCATATAAAGGGGAAAAGTAAATTAAAGCGGATAGCACCTAGTCCAAGAATGAACTGATCGTCATCGCGAGCCCGTTCAGACAGGGACAGGATACTATTTAAAGTTATTTAAATTGTCGGTAAAAGAGAAAAACAAATTATTATCGTACGGAAGAAAATTGCTAACGCGGATAGTACCTACTCCAAGAGTGAACTGATCGTAATCACGAGCCCGTTCAAACAGGACAGGATACTATTTAAAATTATTTAAAATTTGCGGTCTACAGATTAACTAAAAAAAAATTATAACGCGGATAGCACCTACTTCAAGGGTGAACTGATCGTCATCACGAGTCCGTTCAGACAAGGACAGGATGCTATTTAAGATTATTCAAATATACGGTAAAAGAATAAACAAACTATTAAAAGAGGGAAAACGTCTCCTCGAAAACACCGTTTTCAAACATTCCCAACTTAATTACAACGCGGTACTTACTAAACAAAAGTATTTATCAATAAAATCAAATTTAATTCCCGAGTTAACCTATCAAAAGAAGAAAAAAAAATAATTTCTTAATACCGACTAACAATCAAAAGTCTAAAATCCCCGGTTTTACAATATTACAGAATTAAATCCTATAATTTATTATTTAATTCAAATTCTATCCCTTTTTAAAGAAACGGTATGATATTTGTCAAGAAATAAATTCAAATGTTTATTAATGAAATCAAATTAAATCTTTTATCTAAACATTTTCTATAAAAAAAAACGGTAATATTTTTACCAAGAAACAAATTCTAATATTTATTATTTAAATCATATTAAATCTTTTAACTAAACACTATCTATAAAAACAAAAGAAACGGTATCATTTGCCAAGAAACAAATTCTATTATTTATTAATGAAATTAAATTAAATCTTTTAACTAAACACTATCTGAAAATGTTCCTATTCCTACAAGCTAATTCGGTTTTTAAAATATCAATATCAAACGTAAAAAGCGGAACAAGGTTTTTTACCTAACGGATTTGTAAATACACGGAAAAAAGAAAAAAATATCGACGTTGATTTGATTTCGAATTCGGCTTATTAAACTCGACTGCTGGCAACCAAAAATTATATCGAACTCATAATTTTAATAGCATCTCGGGTCTCGTTCAAACAACTGTCCCTCTCCCAATAGAAATCCCACCTACGCCCAGACCCAATGCGCAGCGAGATTTCGAGTGGCGTTCGCGCATCTGTAAATTAACTGAGGATCGACAGTTCAATCGCGTTAAATATTTATTAAAAATGAAAATAAACTGATTGAGGAAAAATTGACTTCATTACATCCGCGTTTAATATTTATTAAAAATGAAAATAAATTGATTGAGGAAAATTGACTTCATTACAGCTTAATAGAATATTTGTTCTAGATCTATTACTGTAAAAAGTAAAATGATCTCTGTTATTATACTGGAGAATGTTTAAATTAATTTTAACTATAATAGCAACACAGTCAATTAATCCTTTCTTGTTTTTATAAAAAGAAGTCAATGAAGCTAGAATTCTCTGAACTTTAAGACTTTCCATGTTAATAAAACTATCTAAAAGTAGCTGATAATCGATTTCTCTTGGAGGGTAGACACCATTTACTGTGAAAGCTAAATATTAAAAAAAAAACTTCCTTTGAACAGAGTCAACACTCATGTGAATATTATAGTAGGGATACCAGATAGTTAACGGTACTCAAGCTTAGTGCGGATGTATGAATAGGTTTTTAATACTCTAGTGTCCCTGACAAATTTCTAACAATCTAATATTTTATTTAAGTTTTTCTAATAATTTAACATAATAGAAAATAACATATCGACTAGAAGAGGTTAAAAAATGCTTTCTTAAAATAATAGCTGTATAACACCAAAAATCAAATAAAACTGGGTATTATTAAATAAATAACAGGTTAGATAAATCTTTATCTAAATAGGTAATGTATAAAATAAAACTAAAAAAAAATATGAATATTTACTACTAATATTTTGCATCCTTTTTTTCAATAGAGCAAAAGGGATACCAGCTAAAGTTTTGTCTCAAATTGTTTAAATTTGTTTTAACTTCTGTTCATTTAAAACAAACTTTAAGGATTTAAATTTTTTTTTTTGGCCTTCGATTCATTCTCTTATGAAAAAGTTGCAATGGTATGAGAGGTGAATCTAAGATTTTCGGGGTAAGTAGAATATAAATATTTCTATTAAGTATATTAAGATATGGAACTGCTTCAAAAAACACGAAGTATCAGTAAAAACTTAGGACCAACCTACAGAACGTTTTAAACAATGCAGTATGCTTAGAACAGAGTCAAAAATAGCTGGCTTGAGTTTGTGTTAAAGAATTTATCACTTTGAATTTATACAACAGTTACATTTTTTTGAAAAGTAAATTACACCTAGTTGAGTTAACTAATTAAAGTATTGTTAATCTAAAATGCAATGAACAGAATCCAAACCTGAACCAGTTAAACATTCAACTTGGAACAGCTGGTGTACTTCTGAACTTTCCATTTATCTGTTGTTAGATGGTTTACTGTACCAAATAAAAAATTTAAATATCACAAGTCATTTTTTAACTATTCCAGATAATTTTCAAATAAACTGTTTAGCTTATCAAAAATTTTACATTTGAGAATTTGAAAAGTGTACTGAATAATTAATACGCAGATATCTGGAAAACAGTAACTCAGAGCGACATTTACAAGATATGCCTTTTTTGCGTAAAAAAGGTGGAAAATACATAATATTTGGGCTAATACACAGTAACACAAAAAAGTTTGGTCATTTTAAAGTGGCTCCCTCTACAAGTGGCATGTGAACTAAGACCGGGTTTGAATTTATTGACTCCTAAAATCCTCATTTTGTACCAGTATGTCACCCTGTTGATGAAATATTGTGAAAAAATAAAATGAAAATTACAACTTTGACACTTTGTATTTCGGATATTACCTATCAACTTTTGGACTATGGTAAGTTTGGTTTTTACCCAAAGAATCTGCAGTTTTACTGTGTACCATTAATTAGTGGACATCCTGGATATATCAAATTAAAAGCATTCAACAAACAAGAAACATTTCCAAACAAATAAGACTATTATGCAATTAGTTATTTTGATTCAATTATTTGATAGCAGTTGTGCAAAACTGGTATAAAAAAAATAAACAAATAAATAGTGTCACCAATTAAACAAACTCAACTTAAAATTTACTTTTTTTTTTTAATTTTCATCAGAACTCAAAATCAGAATTAATGAATAATCAAATACCTTTCAGTCTTGTTACTACTACTGGACCCACTGGAATTTTCAGTGCTCAATTGTGATGGTAAAGAAACTGGCATAGTCTGGTACAAATGCTCTGAGACATCTACTTTTCTTTCTACACGAAGCAACTCGTCCAATTCATCCCATTCCATGTTCTTGACATCCAATTTTGATGGAAGGGTCACTGATTTGATCACATTTTGAGAACTAAATGAGCTATCAGTAATGCTGGTATCTAAAGACTCTGAACCGCTTTCAATTCCAGTATCAGATCTACAAAATTTAATATTAATCTATAAATACAAATGAATCTTTTAAATATTTTTTCATGCCTTGTAAGATCGTCAGAACATGTTGATATTTCATTGTAACTACTGTCTCTTGATATGTTTTGAATATCATCATCAGTATCATACTCAGGACTGGGTGATCTGTATGAATTCCTTTTTCTCACAGTAACTACAGTCCTCTGATCATCATTTTCCTTAAGATGTATAACACCCTGTATACCCCAATGAATTCGTAAAGAACCTTCAAGAATAAACCTTCCATTGACTTCTCTGGAGCGTATCTCTCCACTTTTGCCCTCGAAAAATTGATTATAAACCTTTATTTTTGATTCTAAATGTGATCTTGGAAGCACCGGACCATTACTAAACTTAGGGGAGTCTTTTTGAGCTCCAAAACTCTTATGAGATTCTACTCTGGTTCCATGACCGAATAATTGGGGCCCAAAAAGAGCCCCGTAGCATGGCACATGACAATAAGGAACCCCTTTGTGCTCTGCATGTTGACCAGGATTCAGTCTTTTTCCACATTCTTCACATCTCAAACATTCCGGGTGCCAATTGTATCCCAACGATTGCTTTCTTTCAGCTAAAAATGATTGTAAAGCACATATGATGTATGTAGGGGTTAATAAACTTACCAAAATATACTGGTTTATGACACTTATGGCATTTCCACATAATATGGCTTGCAAATTACGACACTTAAATACTAAACATACACAAATACAACACACAATAAAATGAAAGCATGAAAACAAATCAACCCAAAATTTCACATTATTTTATTTTCATCAATTTTCATTGTCAACATTTGACATATTTGACATTTGGAGTGGCAATTAAAGTAGTGGCTAATAATCCATACTAACGTTCGGTTATCGATCTTCTCTGAACAAATATTGACGTTTTTTGGAATAATAATAGCATAAAATCTAACTAACAAAAATATTAAGCAGAAAATTTTTTAAATTTGTATTCCAATCGTAAATGAATAAATAAAAACTGATAAAAAGTCCAATAATAAAACTTAAAATGACTAACAAACCAAAGCTTTTTTTTTTAAAAAATAGAAAGTTACGTTCTATGTTCCGTTCATAGCCCTGTTCCGTTCCTATGTTCATGCCTATGTTCTATGTCAAAGAGCGAAATTGTCAAAATAGTCCATATGTAATTTTTTTGGTAATTGCGATTTCCTCGTGCTGTTATAGTTGTTAGAAATGTCCAGGTTTATTATAAATCGTTGGTTGTTGAGCTAAAAAGAAAACTACTATCATCAACATGGCAATTGGCTTCAGACAACTGACGAAATTCGCGAATTTTTCAAGTTTAGTAGCTTCAAGAACTAGCGGTTTTAAATTTGAGAAATCCCCACAAGTTCAAATTACCCAAATAAATCATCAGGTAAGCATTACCTAATAAATTATAGTTATATTTGATTTTGTACATCGTCGATTAAATTATCTACAACTTCGTATTAATGCTGTTACTAGTTATTTTATTTTTAGTATTTTCCAAAGGTTGTAAAAACTTTTAATTACAATGAAATTAGGGAGACCAATTCTAGGACAAACGATAGTATTGTGGATAATAGAGAGAGTGATAATGATTTAGTTACTAAAGAGAATGTAATTGTAATTGATAATTCCCATTTAGAAGACTTAAATAACTTAAATAGACTAAGTTTCATAAGGTGAGTGTTTTTCTTAATTTCCTTTATCTTGTATCAAAAATGATTTTTATTTTTAGTTATTCTGACATTACGTCCTCACACAATAAAAATGATTTTTGTGCTTTGAAACAGCAGCAGTTTAACAATCAGATGGCTCCAGCTAATGAGCCATCAAATAAACCAAGTCCTGAAAAACTTGCCCATGTGTACCAAACACTGGCTGATACCTTACCTAAACTCTTCATTCAACCTTTAGATTATAAAATATACCACCCAGACATTGTGTTTGAAGATCATATCAGAAATATACAAACTGTGTAAGTTTATTTTGGTAAATCTCTAGTTAAGAATTTCTCGATTTTGTTTTTTTTTTCTCCAAAACATGTAAAACATCCATTTAAAGATATTTAAGTGTTGCAATGTTGCACATCAAATTTAGAAGAGAGTGAAATTATTGTTGTGCTCTTGTTTATTCTAGTGTTAAAAATTATTGATTTTGGAAAGTTATTTCTTAGATGATTTATTTTCATGTCAAATAACCTAGCTGTTTTCCTTTCTCTTCATAAATGAGCTATATCAGTTATATTTTTTTAATAGTCACTAGGAAACTATATCATTTACAAAGTTCTTTAGCAAAATTTTGCTGTTCTGATCTCACTGGAGGCCAATATTTCTCATCACATGTACCAATAAATCCAGAGACTTTAATTTTGTTTTAAAATGTCTACTTTTATTTTCCTATTAATACCATCTCTGACTGTATTGTAGGAAGATTAAATTTTTGTAGTTGTTGATGCGAATTTTAAATAAATTATCTGATGTTTCTAACACATGACTTTCCTGTAAAGTTATCATGTATATTGAATACGGCCCATCTAAAAGTGTTTAGAATATGATTTAAAGACCAAAAATGTCCACTCCTATTTTATTTGAAAACATGTTTTCATATCTTCATTACCAATGGAAATACTGAAAAATGTTTTTACTTTTCTTCAAGTTTATCCATTACATTTTAAAGAAATCATGTATTTGATAAAAATTATAGAGATGATATCACAGACAACTCTTATTCACACAATTTTTTCTCTAATCAAATAACAGAAATATATCTTAAAGTAGAAAAACGACCCCCCTATGAAGTACCCCCCAGATGCTCCAATTTTCTTTATAGAACAGTAGGTGGGTGGAAAAAATGGAAATTCAACAGTAGATTTTTATTAAATAAATATAAACATAATTATTAAAAAAAAAAAATTTATAAATAAATTAAAAGAAAAATAAATAAAAATATTCCTGAAAAATAAAACAAATGACCAAATAAACATAAATTTCTTGAAAAAAAAAAACCAATCAATATTTATTTATTTCACAATCCAAACAGGCTTCTAGCCTTATTCATGGATATAAATATTACAAATACTGTTACATTAATACATATTGTTACATGACAATTGACTAAACTAAAATTATAATATATGATCAGCAAAGTTGACAGATTCTTCACCAAATTCTGATAAATAATGATCAATGCAATGATGATTGTTAATAATAATGATAATTTAAATCCCATAATTTTTAAAATAATTTAATATTACTTTCCAATACTGATGAAATGACATTCCAATCTATATTATGCATAAGATTGACATTATTAGCTAAGTAGAGGACATAGTAAAGTGGAGAGCAGCTCATCAAGCAAAAGAGTGGAGTGAATGCGTTTTGGATGAACATTGAAAGGTATGAATGCTAATAAATTATTTGATGTATTTTGATTATTCATTAAACCAAACAAAAACTTCATCATAGCTTGGTTACGTCTTATGACAAGGGACGATATTTGGAATTCTGTTCTTAGCATTTGTATCCTTACATGATTATAATCGGACCAACGGTGATATTTTTTGTAGTATAGATACCAAAGAAACTTATTTTGAATTTTTTTGAGATTCTCAAGATATATTTGTGGTTCTTGTACCCAAATTATAGAAGCAAAATCTAATTTTGATAATACAAGAGTATTGTAAAGAGTTTTAATTGAAGATTAGTTTCGAGAATGAGGATGTTTGCCTAGAAATGATGCCAAGCATTTTATTTACACTTTTAGATGTTTTTTTTCTATATGAGGCCTAAACGATAATTGATTATTATAGGTAACGCCAAGATCTTTCATTTCGGAGACCCTGTTTAATAGATCAGTATCCATTGTATAGTCAAAAATAATCGGCTCTTTCTTGCAAGAGGTTTTCATGACAAAGCATTTATTTATGTTAAAATACTCTGAAGTGTATTTTCTTATATATTTTTAAGTCATCAGCATAAAGTAGACACTCTGAATTGTATAGACAGAAAGGAAGGTCATTGATAAATATTAAAAAAAGTAATGGACCAAGGTTAGAGCCCTGTGGCACACCCGAGTTTGAGTGATATTGGTTAGACATTTTTCCATTGTAGTTTACTGAAAAGTATATATATCCTGTAAATAAGTTCTGATTAATTTTAGTAAATTTCCTGTTACACCTAAATTGTTTAACTTATTTAATAATATATCATGATTTACTTGGTCGAAAGCTTTACTAAAATCGGAAAATACTGTATTTAATTGTAGTTTTTCATTTAGTGCTCTGGTTGCATGTTTTGTAAAAATAAATAAGTTTGTATTTATTGATCTTCCATTTACAACACCATGTTGTTCCTCTGCTAAAATATTTTTAATTTGGTTGTATATTTTACTGTAGAGAATGTGTTCAAATACTTTATAAGGAGCACATAATATTGCAATTCCCCTATAATATTTAATATTTTGTTCATCTCCAGATTTATGAATAGGTGTGTAACTTGATAGTTTCCATTTTGTTGGTTATATCGAAAATTTGAGAATTAAATTGAAAATATGTAATAAAGGTTTTACTAGAAAATCCCTGCAGCCTATTAAAACGTATGGAGGAATATTATCGATTTTTTTGGTTTCGATCTTTTCATAGCTTCATTGTAGTCTAAAAGAGTAATTGAATTTAGATCGCAACCATTAAAGTTATTACAAAAATAATTTAAAAAGTCTGAGCTATAGTTTGATTTTTTGGCTGAATATGAATTAGATTTTGACAATACAACTCTTATTCACACAATTTTTTTTCTGATCAATTAACAGAAATATACCTTAAAGTAGAAAAACGACCCTCTATAAAGTATCCTCCAGATGCTCCAATTACTTTATAAAATAGTAGGTGGGTGGAAAAAATGGAAACTCGACAATAGATTTTTATTAAATAAATATAAACATTGTTATTAACAAAAAACAAATTTTACAAATAAATTAAAAGAAAAATAATAAAAATATTCTTGAAAAATAAAACAAATGACCAAATAAACATAAATATTTTTGAAAAAAAAAACAACCAATATGAATTAGATTTTGACAATACAACTGGGCCGTCTTTGTTATGACCTACAATCTAAGCACTATCAAATCCTATCAAAAATAGCGTAAAAATTATTTCATTCAAATTATAATTGGGTAAATATAGTAATAATTAATTATTAACAGTAGATTTTAAACTAAAAACAATAGAATGGGAGAAAAGAGACAAAAACAATAACTGTTAAAACAGTAGAATTGGCAACACTAGGTACTAGATTTGTGAATGTGGCGTACGCAGTTCGCATTTCTCAGACATGAACTATTTGAAGACAAGTAAGACTTTCTTTGATTTAAAAACAATGAAATAAACATTTTTCTAACAATGTGATAGGGAAGAATGAGTTTGTGATTGTATCTATCCTCTATACACTTTACGGGTGTGAAGTTATCCACATCCACAAATGTACACTGAGAAAAATATAACTCTATCGTAATAGTCATATAACTTGGTTCAAATTACCTGTAGAGGCTTTTCATTTGTAGATTTCAATTGGGGAGGTTTCAATACACAGCAACCATACCCGCAATTAACTTTTGCTTTGTCTCAGGGGGTGCAATTGGGGGTGAAATTTAAAAAAAAATCATAGAAGCCACAAATGGCTTTGTACACCTTTCTGCTTGGGATATGTTATGTAGTTTAGTCTTTTCTTCATCCCTGATACCATCCTGGAGTTTGTCGAGCCGTCTGAGGGGGTGCAATTGGGGATGAAATTAAAAAAAAAAACATAAAAGCCACAAATAGCTTTGTACACCTTTCTGCTTGGGATATGTTATGTAATTTTCTATTTTTTTCATCCATGATAGCATGCTGGAGTTTGTCGAGCCGTCTGAGGGGGTGCAATTGGGGGTGAAATAAAAAAAATCGTAGAAGCTACAAATGGTTTTGTACACCTTTCTGCAAGCGATATGTTATGTAGTTTGCTCTTTTCTTCATCCCAGATACCATGCTAGAGTTTGTCGAGTCGTCTGAGGGAGTGCAATTGGGGATGAAATTTAAAAAAAAATCTAAGACGCCACAAATCGATTTGTACACCTTTCTGCTTGCAATATGTTATGTAATTTGCTCTTTTCTTTCTCCCAGATACCATGCTGGAGTTTGTCGAGCCGTCTGAGGGGGTGCAATTGGGGATGAAATTAAAAAAAATCACAGAAGCCACAAATGGCTTTGTACACCTTTTTACTTGAGATATGTAATGAAGATAGCTATTTTCTTTATGCCTGATACCATGCTGGAGTGTCGAGCCGTCTGAGGGGGTGCAATTGGGGGTGAAATTAAACAAAAAATCATAGAAGCCACAAATGGCTTTGTACACCTTTCTGCTTGGGATATGTTATGTAGTTTGCTCTTTTCTTCATCCCCGATAGCATGCTGGAGTTTGTCGAGCCGTCTGAGGGGGTGCAATTGGGGATGAAATTTAAAAAAAATCACAGAAGCCACAAATAGCTTTGTACACATTTCTGCTTGCGATATGTTATCTAGTTGGCTCTTTTCTTCATCCCAGATACCGTGTTGGAGTTTGTCGAGCCGTCTGAGGGGGTGCAATTGGGGGTGAAATAAAAAAATTAAAGAAGCCACAAATGGCTTTGTACACCTTTCTGCATGCGATATGATATGTAGTTTGCCCCATGCTGGAGTTTGTCGAGCCGTCTGAGGGGGTGCAATTGGGGATAAAATTAAACAAAAAAATCATTTGTGGCTTCTGTGATTTTTTTTAAATTTCATCCCCAATTGCACCCCCTCAGACGGCTCGACAAACTCCAGCATGGTATCTGGAATGAAGAAAGGGGCAAACTACATATCATATCGCATGCAGAAAGGTGTACAAAGTCATTTGTGACTTCTTTAATTTTTTTTATTTCACCCCCAATTGCACCCCCTCAGACGGCTCGACAAACTCCAACACGGTATCTGGGATGAAGAAAAGAGCCAACTAGATAACATATCGCAAGCAGAAATGTGTACAAAGCTATTTGTGACTTCTATGATTTTTTGTTTAATTTCACCCCAATTGCATCCCCTCAGACGCCTCGACAAACTCCAGCATGGTATCAGGCATAAAGAAAATAGCTATCTTCATAACATATCTCAAGTAAAAAGGTGTACAAAGCCATTTGTGGCTTCTGTGATTTTTTTTTAATTTCATCCCCAATTGCACCCCCTCAGACGGCTCGACAAACTCCAGCATGCTATCAGGGATGAAGAAAAGAGCAAACTACATAACATATCCCAAGCAGAAAGGTGTACAAAGCCAGTTGTGGCTTCTATGATTTTTTGTTTAATTTCACTCCTAACTGCACCCCCTCAGATGGCTCGACAAACTCCAGCATGGTATCTGGAATGAAGAAAGGGGCAAACTACATATCATATCGCAAGCAGAAAGGTGTACTAAGCCATTTGTGGCTTCAATGATTTTTTTTATTTCACCCTCAATTGCACCCCTTAGACGGCTCGACAAACTCCAGCATGCTATCAGGAATGAAGAAAAGAGTAAACTACATATCATATCCCAAGCAGAAAGGTGTACAAAGCCATTTGTGGCGTCTATGATTTTTTTTTAATTTCATCCCCAATTGCACCCTCTCAGACGGCTCGACAAACTCCAGCATGCTATCAGGGATGAATAAAAGAGCAAACTACATAACATATCCCAAGCAGAAAGGTGTACAAAGCCAGTTGTGGCTTCTATGATTTTTTTGTTTAATTTCAATCCCAATTGCACCCCCTCAGATGGCTCGACAAACTCCAGCATGGTATTAGGCATAAAGCAAATAGCTATCTTCATAACATATCTCAAGTAAAAAGGTGTACAAAGCCATTTGTGGCTTCTGTGATTTTTTTTTAATTTCATCCCCAATTGCACCCCCTCAGACGGCTCGACAAACTCCAGCATGCTATCAGGGATGAAGAAAAGAGCAAACTACATAATATATCCCAAGCAGAAAGGTGTACAAAGCCAGTAGTGGCTTCTATGATTTTTTGTTTAATTTCACCCCCAATTGCACCCCCTCAGACGACTCGACAAACTCCAGCATGGTATCAAGCATAAAGAAAATAGCTATCTTCATAACATATCTCAAGTAAAAAGGTGTACAAAGCCATTTGTGACGTCTGTGATTTTTTTTTAATTTTATTCCTAATTGCACCCCCTCAGACGGCTCGACAAACTTCAGCATGCTATCAGGGATGAAGAAAAGAGCAAACTACATAACATATCCCAAGCAGAAAGGTGTACAAAGCCATTTGTGGCTTCTATGATTTTTTGTTTAATTTGACCCCCAATTGCACCCCCTCAGACTGCTCGACAAACTCCAGCATGGCATCTGGAACGAAGAAAGGGGCAAACTACATATCATAGCGCATGCAGAAAGGTGTACAAAGCCATTTGTGGCTTCTTTAATTTTTTTATTTCACCCCCAATTGCACCCCCTAAGACGGCTCGACAAACTCCAACACGGTATCTGGGATGAAGAAAAGAGCCAACTAGATAACATATCGCAAGCAGAAATGTTTACAAAGCTATTTGTGGCTTCTGTGATTTTTTTTAATTTCATCCCCAATTGCACCCCCTCAGACGGCTCTACAAACTCCAGCATGCTATCAGGGATGAAGAAAAGAGCAAACTACATAACATATCCCAAGCAGAAAGGTGTACAAAGCCAGTTGTGGCTTCTATGATTTTTTGTTTAATTTCACTCCCAATTGCACCCCCTCAGACGGCTCGACACTCCAGCATGGTATCAGGCATAAAGAAAATAGCTATCTTCATAACATATCTCAAGTAAAAAGGTGTACAAAGCCATTTGTGGCTTCTGTGATTTTTTTTTATTTCATCCCCAATTGCACCCCCTCAGACAGCTCGACAAACTCCAGCATGGTATCTGGGAGAAAGAAAAGAGCAAATTACATAACATATCGCAAGCAGAAAGGTGTACAAATCCATTTGTGGCGTCTATGATTTTTTTTAAATTTCATCCCCAATTGCACTCCCTCAGACGACTCGACAAACTCCAGCATGGTATCTGGGATGAAGAAAAGGGCAAACTACATAACATCGCTTGCAGAAAGGTGTACAAAGCCATTTGTGGCTTCTATGATTTTTTTTTATTTCACCCCCAATTGCACCCCCTCAGACGGCTCGACAAACTCCAGCATGCTATCATGGATGAAAAAAAGAGAAAATTACATAACATATCCCAAGCAGAAAGGTGTACAAAGCTATTTGTGGCTTTTATGTTTTTTTTTTTTAATTTCATCCCCAATTGCACCCCCTCAGACGGCTCGACAAACTCCAGCATGGTATCAGGGATGAAGAAAAGAGTAAACTACATAACATATCCCAAGCAGAAAGGTGTACAAAGCCATTTGTGGCTTCTATGATTTTTTTTAAATTTCACCCCCAATTGCACCCCCTGAGACAAAGCAAAAGTTAATTGCGGGTATGGTTGCTGTGTATTGAAACTTCCCCAATTGAAATCTACAAATGAAAAGCCTCTACAGGTAATTTGAACCAAGTTATATGACTATTACGATAGAGTTATATTTTTCTCAGTGTACATTTGTGGATGTGGATAACTTCACACCCGTATACACTTTCATATACTATTTTTTATAATCGAGGGTATCTTAACCTAGACATTTTCATTTTTGTGTTAAAATCTTCTTTGCTATCCAAATCTACTGTTTTCTTTTAGAGGTCTTTATAACTACGTGAAACAAGTAGCTTTACTTCGGACAGTAGGTCATTTAAAATTCGCCTATGTAAAATTTGAAATACTGAAAATCACCCAACATGCAGAAGATTCTTCAGTAAAAGTCAGGTGGCAGATCCGAGGCATTTCCGCTTTAAAAGTCATGTTGAGTTTTTGGAAATACAAACTTTGGGACTTCAAGGAAATATTTGAAAAAACGGAAAGGTAATATTTTTAACGGTATAAAATATGATAGTTGAAAACCATGGTAATTTTGATAAGTAAAATGAGGACCATCAATCCCAAACTGTATAGCATGTAAATACAGGCTATTCTACCAAGTTATGAAGGTTTTGGCATTACCGACTGTACTTCTAGCTATGAACAAACCAAGGCAATACCACAGCGAGTAATGAATACTTAAACACAAACACTTATATTCCATATGTCACCTATAAAAACAGATTTTAAGATTTTCAACCATTTTAATGAATCGGTCATTATCAAGATTAATTTTCGTTTTAAAATTTGACACTAAATCATCAAAACTTTTGATCAAACATAACACTTAATTTTTCTTAACATTGGATGTGTGTTCCTATTTTCTTTCAATATGTGATTTTCTGGAAGTAGGTGCAGGTTTTGACAAATATTAAGCAGATTTGGGAAAATACAGAGCAAGCATTTGGTTTATGATTAAGTTTTACAGGAATGTTTATTAAATTTTCATCGAGTTGCAAATAATTTCCATACCCTATAATTTTATTTTCAGGAAAGTATTTACAACAAACTGCTGTTGTTTTAAAGGAATACAGTTCGCTTTAGGATTTGCACTTAACCATTTTTATCTTAAATTATCATCCTCCGGAAATTGAAAAACCACCTAGTTTTTGTTTTAAAACACTATTATTATAATTATTGTACTTACAGCCAATAATACAGCAAGAACTAGGCACAAATATTAAAGTTATTATCCACCATGTAATGGGTTAATAATGGGCCACCAGACTCTTTTTAATACTTATTTTAATTAAATTATTAAGTCTGGTTATCCAATGCTAGAACTACAGGTATAACAACAAAAACAATTTTATTTCGGTAAGATTAGACAGTTTATCACAAAGAAAAAATCACAAACTTTCGGCTCTATGTTAATACATACTTTTAAAAACTAGTTATAGAAAAAGACTAAATGTTTTTCGAAAAAAAATCGCCTTTAAGTTAAAGCAACACTTTACTCTTCAAAAGTGTACTAGACGTCATTGCAATGTACCAAAATGGACTTTATCACCGCGTTGCCAGATTTATCTGTGTTAGGCTAGAAAGTAGAGTCGGTAATGATTTTGCATTAAGTATGAAAGAAAACATCGACTTAAAGATGCTTAAGGTACACTAGTAAATTCCCCCCAATATTTGAAGCATTAAACCTGAAATTTTCTTGTTTTTAATCATGTTTTGTTGGGACGTCCCGTTTTGGTGAACAGAAATCGATTGAAGGCTTTGTTTTTTTTTTTGTTTTGAGTTATGCAGGGATTTTGTACTGCAATATGGAAAAGCGAGTAAAATAAATTTTCAGTACGAATTTAAAATATAGGTTTAATTATGGTGTACTTACAGTATTATCATACAGTATCATATTCTCAGTTTGAATTGTAAAAGAAAAATGAAATTGTAAATATATTTATATGTAATTAGAGAATTTGACGATGTATAATTTATACTCAAAATTATTTGTAAAATATGTTTATTTTTTATTAAAACATTTTTAACTGACCACAATATAAGTTTATTGTTAAACTACTATCCAGGAGATTAGTCCCTCAGCTTACTTCGACCCAAATTTTAGTTTAAACTCAATTTAATACACCTTTTTGATGCCATTAAACAGTAAGGGATTATTGGTCTTCAATTTACATCATAATGCCTATTTTTGAGGTTGCTTTTTGTTGTGTAAATGTGATGATAATTTAAAAAAAAAAATATTTTTGTTTTATTTTCGTTGAAAATGTCAGAAGGTTTTTGTGATAACTATAGTAATTATTCAAATACAGACATAACAACCGCTTATTAAAAATAAAAAAATGACTTCTTTGTGTATTTAAATTATTGTCAAAGTCGATCAAAGTTTTTTATTTCTTTGCAGTTGGTATGATGGATTTTCTACTTTTTATGTAAATTCAGAGGGACAAGTCGTAAAGCATGTTGCTGATAAGGTAAGAATTGATAGTCATAGTCATTGATATGTGTTATTGAAATAATTATGAATTCTTTTTCAGATGATGCCAGATTCAGATCACGTGACGGATAGAGATGCGAAACCTTTAGTAAGTGCAGCAAAACTAGCGCTTATCGTAGGAATAATTCCAAAATTTTCTGATTTAAACTCATTAGTTTAGAGTCAACAAGTTTAGCATTTAATGCTCGTTCACTCGCTTTCAAGAAATATCCATTGCAGCCGTTAAAATAAATAACTCTAAGTCTTTGTTTTAATGTGTTTTTCATTCTATTAGAAGGCGTATTTTAGATCCTCAAATGTTTGAACCAGTGAACGTTTGTTACGAAAGAGTGTAAAGAAGTTTATTATTACTAATTTGTTTTTTATGTCGTTTAAATATATCGAAAGATGATTTATGATTTGTTTTATTTATTGCAACAAGACCTGATACAGAATCACCGCAAATAACTGCAACAGAAAGAGTTGAGAATAGCATATTATTTCCAATAGATAGTCTTAAACAAGATTCAATTCCTGGAATAGAAGAAAGCCCACCCATTTTTAAAAAAAAAATAATCTAATAGCCTTCTTAATCTCCACACGACAGTTATGAACGACTCTATGCAAAAACAGGCACTGCTAATGGACTGGAAACAGGCTATAGTCACTCCTATATGTAAGAAAGGTGACAAAAAGAATCCCATAAACTACACACCTTCCAATCAGTCTTACAAACTGTATCGGTAAATCACTGGAAAAGGTTTTTACAAAAGAAGTAACTGAGCTCATGGTGGAACACAGAGTTTTACCAAACAATCAGCATGGATTTAAGCACAAAAGATCTGTTGGTACAAATCTTCTGAGTGCAGTTAACCAGTATAGTCAACTTGGAATGACGACAACCAGCCAATTGATGTGATATGAGAATGCTTTTTGATAACGTTCCACATAGAAGGCAGCTTAGCAAACTGGAACGCTTTGGAATAAGAGGTAATCTATTATTGTCGAATAAGAGTTTCTTATTCAACTGGCAGTTTGCGTAAGAATAAATGGACAGATGTCAAACAACCATCCAGTAGAAAGTGGAGTACCACAAGGCTCAGTTTTGGGTCCCCTAATATTTATTTTATACACCAGCAAAATTATCGAGCCCGATGATAATCTTTTATACAGATGACAGAAAGGTTTACTGCAAGCCACTGGAAAGCTCTCATAAAATGAAACAAGACTTGAATAAAATAGGAATTTGGTCCCAGCAATGACTAGTACCCCTCAACATAAATAAGTGAACATTGGCCCAAATAATCCACACACAGTACGCAATAACTCCAGTCGAAACACAAAAGAATCTTGGTGTAATCATATCTAAAGACTTAAAATGGGAGACCTGTTGGAGACAACCTCCATCTATTGTTGTATTGGTTATTTCTAGTACCTTAAGTTGGTAACTTCTGACAACTCGGCTTCCTGTTGGATTGCATTCAGGGAGGAAGTACGGTTGTGGCACTTCGTGTCTTAACCTTGAGCAGTGAACTGTTCTACAGTAGCAGCCATTTATAAGTTGATTTCTAATGCATTATTAATTATATTTCATTATAAAGCTCTGCCTTCTGGACATCTTTCGCAAGTCTGGCTTCTGGCCATATCTTCAACCCTATTGTAAATAATGTATAAAGTTTGTGTGTTGTAAATAAAAGTGTTTAGTAGAAAGTGCATCGTTTCAATTTTACACGCCATTTCAGGACCTACCAGCGAAGCCCTATCAGTTACAGTCCACTAGTTATTCATTCAGATAATGTACCCCACAAAACCCACATTGCTTTTAAAGACCATTCCGAAGATATGATCCTGAAACTGTACACAACTTACATAAGACCAAATATGGAATTTGCACAGACCATTTGGGATCCATACTTTGTTAAAGACATTAAACTGCTGGAAAGAATACATCGGGGAGTCACTAAAATACCACCAACCCTACAAAACAATGAGTATTGTGATGGGCTAGCCAAACTACAACTTTCAAGTTTAAGGGATATAAGAACTAGAGGAGACGATAGAAATTTACAAGTGGACCAGCGGATATTGTACCTATGATAACATCTTCCAAGCCAGCACGTGAGGATCCTTGAGAGGTTACTCGAAGAAATTAGATAAAGAAAAGTATAATAAACTGCAAAACAAAATTCATTTCAAACAACTGTATGTCTGTGGAATGGTCTCCAAGAACAAACAGTCTCAGCCCAGAACACAAACCAGTTCAAGGTGAGAGTGGATAAATAATTTTTGTCACTAACTAAAAGAGCAGCTTCATCGACTATGTCGCTTGTCTGTTCTTAACAATAATAATAATAAAATGTGCAGTGACTCCGTAATAAAAAATATGCTCCACTCCAGAATTTCGGGTTTGGAACGCCCTTGACCCCCCCAGCTGAGTGACGTAAGATTGGTACAGAAAAAATCAAATAATATGGTTACATAATTATATTTATATTTTTTAAAATATCAATATTACTACAAAAATTAACAAATTGTTACCTACCTACCTAAAAATGTTTTTATTTTATATAAAATTTGTAATTATAATAATCATCAGTTCAATTTACATCAGGCAAATTTTTTAGTTTTAGTTTTCAGTCCTGCTGAAACCTTTACATTAGAGTTAACTACGAATATTGGATAATTGACATTTATCAAATAGTAAATAAATATTTTCTTTACATAAAAGAAACCTAAATATCTAACGGCAAGTATATAAAAAATGTAACAATCGATAGGTTTTATTAAAGTCACCTAAAGATCAGTAAAAGTCTTAATAGTTTATCATGATTCGTTTTCACAGTATTGATAAAACACTTAAATCAATGAATGTACAATTATAATTCACCAACGGAAAGTACGGAATTTCTCTGCTTATCTTTTTTTACGTCAAAATTTTTGAGAAGAATTTTCTCCATCCCGTGTATGGGCGATTCGAAAAATATACAAAGAACAAAGGCAAGAGCGAAAGTCAAAACGATGTGTCCGCAGGTCTTGCAACTCTGAAAAATAAAAAAAAAATAGTACAATTATTTTTAAATTAAAGGAAAAATGCTTCAGCAGTTATAGTTGAATCTGGGAGGCAACAATAAAAGGAATTTGTTAAGAACACTGAAGGGTTCCCAGACAACACACCAAATCAGAGATATCCGCAGAATATCTTTTGTGGATATCCAATATATCCACAGGATATCAGAAATATTCCGTGGATCTAATATGGATATCCAAATGTCCGTCTATATCCAGGATATAGAAGATGTCCTAATGGATATTCAGCAAAATATCTAATGGGTATCTTCCAGAAAATACATGAAATCACAGAGATATCCACAGAATATATTTTATGGATATTCAATATATCCAATATGGATATCCAACCAAATGTCCGTCTATATCCCAGGATATAGAAGATATTCGGATATTCAGAAAAATATTTTATGGGTATCTTTAGTAGAGGCACAGTTTATAGCTTAAAAGAATCAGTTCGCTCACTCGGACTAATTGGATGTTCCAAAATAGCATCCACTCCAGGGATACAAATTCAGGATGCGCAGAAGACAGCTGTTTGAATATAAGCGGTTGTCATATATATTGTATTAGGCATTCCAAACAAATGAACTGCCAGTGGGAAGATTTGATATATCCAAGGGTTGCGACATACGATGTATTCTGTTTACAATACGTAAAATCATGAATAATGGATTACATTTAAATATTTTATGTCAAACAATAAAAATAAGATACATTTTTTCATAAATTGGCAGGCTTTGTGACTATTATTTTGAATAAAAAAAAACGTTCAAGATGCAAGACTATGTCTCTACCCACTTAGATATACCAGACCTTCTCACTGACAGCTATTGCTTGACAGGTCGTTGGAATGCTTAATTGGTAATAGTAAGAGAGCCCACTGCAAATTACGACCGCCATCTGATAACAAAATGAAATATGCTCCAAAGACATGTAACAGCATTGTACTTTACCAAATTGCACCTGTGCCATTCTGTAATCCACAGCAAAGTGGTTAAAAAAATTATTTTATATTCAAAAAATTACATAAGACATGATAGCGATAATTGTGTTTTCTCTGAAAATTACAATCCTAATTCATTGTGAATTATTAATATTTTTACCTAACTTTGGCAGAGATAGTCAATAATAATTATAAACTCTTGTTAGACAATTCTTTTAAACCATAATCATAGTAGTTTTTTTGTAGTTTCTATGATAACCTGTAAAAATGAATCACAACAATAGGCATACAAATAAATTTTTAAATCAGCAAAAATTGATTCATATTTTTAATGATTTTTACCTACTAATCGTGTGTAGATGTTTTTGTGCGATGTTAAGAGGAAGAAAATGTTTCCCGTTAACGCTATATATCAAGATATATTTGATAATGTTATTATCTGGAAAACTTTAAGGGCAAACAAAATTAGCGCTGTCGTGCCTTATGTAATTTTTTTAATATAAAATATTTTTTTTAAACACTTTGCTCAGGATTGGGATTATCACAGGTGTCATTCGGTAAAGTACAATGTTTTTACAAGCTTTTGGGGTATATTTTATTTCATTATCAGATGGCGGTAAAAATTTACAGTAGGCCCTTGGGCTATTATGATTTGATTCTGTATGCGCCAGGGATACAAATCCGAGTTGCGCAATGTATAAACTGGAACATGGAGATCAAAAGTGCCGACGCAGAGTGAGCGAACTGATTCTTTTAAGCTATAAACTGTGGTAGAGGTTCATAAGTAACCAATGATTATTGAATAACGTCGAAAGAAAATAGCAGAGATAAAAAATATTTTCAACACTGCCTTTGATTTTGCCCACTAAGGAGAAAGTCATCCTTATTAGGACTCTTCAGCAATAAATGAAAATTCACGACTCCAGTCTCTAATGGAATTAATAGGACACACATTTCGATCGAACTCAATTACGGCGGGTCGAGCATGAGTAGATGCGATAGTGGTATCGCCATCTATACTTAGTAAGCAGAATCAAATAACATCTAGTGGATATCCACGATGGTTTGCGTTCGCGCCTAGACTTTGATATATTTAGTGGATGTTCTTGGGATATTGAATACACCTTAAAAAATTAATTTTAAATATCTGAACGGTACTATTAGCCACAATGGCGAGCACAATGGCGTAATTTTTTAATAATTTGCTATATAATTACTATTATTTATGGACATTTGCATGTCTATAAATTACATTTCATGGATATAAAATAGATATCTACCATGGACTGGACATTCAGTGGATATTGGGATGTTAAGTAGATATCCAAAGGATTTGGTGTGCTGTCTGGGTTGCCATGTGCAATATCCACACAGTGAGCACATAAAGGTTGGAACGTCGATTTTATTTTTCAGTTGCGCATTTTTTGGTCTACTCAGATTTTTGATGACGTCATCTCTGTTCGCGTTATGACGTCATTATCATTTTTTTAAATGGCAATACCCTATTTTGATACCTTCAAAAAGAACGCATTTTTCTGTGTAGGGATGTCATATTTTTTTTGTTACATAACCGTATATTCGAAAAATAAGAGATTTCATTCTAATAATGTAATTTATAAAAATGACAAGAGGACTAAATAAACATACAAACTATTAAATTAAGTGCTCAAATTGCAAGCCATTTGCCTCTTAACAATGTGCAAGACGATGTTGAAAATCTTGCAAAACATTAGTAAGGGTATCGGCGTTAATTAAATTAATTTCGGTCCTCATTCTCTCTTTTAGTTCATAAATAGTATTAGGTGTGTTAACGTAAACTTTTGACTTAAGATATCCCTACAAAAAAATCTAGTGGGTTTAGATCACTGATCTGTATTATTTTACTGGATAGGATATAGGCTATATTTAACATAGTAAAAAATCGTTCCACCAAAGAGACCGGAAGTGCAACAATGCTGGCCGATTTGGGTAAATAATGGTGGGTTCACAGAACTGAAATTTGGGATAATTTGACATACCTAACCTATAATTTGATTAGTTTTTCTTCTTATTCTTCTTCTATTCCTTTTGCGGGCGATGTCCTTAAGGAAATTCCACCCATGATTTGATTTTTTATGAAAGAAAATATAAAAATGGAAACGTGAAGCATATTGTGTCTTCAGGAATGAACGTTTATTGTTTATTTCATACTCTTTTTACTTTGTTTTCCACAATAAAAACATCTCATCGTAGCTTGTTGACACAATTAATTGACAAATGTGATGACAAATGGAAATAGAAGTTACGTTAAATAACATCCGGTCCGCCATATTATTTGCCCAAATCGGCCAATTTTTCGGAACGTTTTTTAGGGGGCTATATCCTATCCAGTAAAATAATACAGATCAGTGGTTTAGATCAGGAGATCTAGTTGGTCACTCTAAAAAATTCTGGCCTGCCAATCCATCTATTGGGGAACATATTATAGAGGTATTCACGTACATGTAATGCGGTGGCGCTCCATATCTTGCTGGTACCAAAGTTAATTTGTTCGGTAGCTGAGGATTTTGATGATGTGAGTACAGAACCGCAAGTCGTAGAATTTTTTGATGTTGCAGTAAATCCAAATATTTGTCACCGTTCAATGAATCATCAATAAAAAAAGGTCCCACAATTGTGTTACCAACTTTTCTCGCCCGAACGTTGACTGTCTGTGGATACTGAGTGTGCTCTTTCATCGCCCAGTGAGGGTTCTCTGGTGTCCAGTACCTACAATTCTGCCTATTTACTGTACAATAATATTTTGAAATATTATTTCAAAATATTTTGAAAACATTTTCTTTTTTAAATATTTCTAAAAGATTTATTATATCACCCCTCTTGATTGCCTTAGCGCCCTTCATTTGCCTCTGGATCCACTACCGCTCTCATAGAAAGTTCCAGCGCATACTGGAGCGCCCCCGCTGGGAACCTATGGTCTAGTTAAGTAATTCTCAAACTTTTTTGGTGACTAAACCTTTTTGAAAAGCGAAATATTTGACGAAGCCCTAAGCACATTTCTAAAAAAAAATACTCCGAGCAAAATCCTCCTTGCTCTAGCCTCTTGCCAGATCCCTCCCGTTTCGTTGCGGAGCCCCTACAAAGAAATCCTCAAAATCATATCATCCTTCCTCTGGCCTTTAAAAAAAAGGGTACTCCATCAAAATCATATACTTCTTCCTCTTACTGACTTCTAAAAAAAAGGTCCTTAAGCCAAGTCTCGTAGCGATATTACTGCTTTTTTTTGTTATGACTATTATTTTCTTCGCGGAGCCCCCACAAAGGCTTTGCGGAGCCCCAGTGCACCGCAGACCACACTTTGAGTAACGCTGGTCTAGTGTAACGGTGAACCCAGGTGTTTTATTTGGGGGGGGGGGGGGTGTTAAGATTTTTTTATGACATTTTATACAACGTAAAAAAGACATTTAGAATAAATTTCTACTGAATCATTAAAATGTACACCCCTCATCTTGAGTACGCCACAGGGGTGTAGCGTGTATACTTTCGACAACAACAAACTTTATAGAGATGCTAGATTATTATGAGACGTCGGAGATTTTCAAGATCCCCAGACAGCACACCAAATCCTTTGGATATCTAATGGATATCCCAATATCCACTGAATGTCCAGTCCATGGTGGATATCCATTTTATATCCATGAGATGTAATTTATAGACATGCAAATCCATAAATAATAGTAATTATATAACAAATTATTAAAAAATTACGCCATTGTTGCTAATAGTACCGTTTAGATATTTAAAATTAATTTTTTTTAAGGTGTACTCAATATCCCATGGATATCCACTAAATATATCAAAGTCTAGGCGCGAGCGCATACCATGGTGGATATCCACTAGATGTAATTTATGGATATAATATGTACCTAAACATCGGAAAATATGTGAATTGATTTAATAATTATTAAATTACTTAAATATTACGCCATGTGATAACTAAGAAAGTATGTAGGTATGTTTAATAGAAATTTAAAATTAGTAAGTTGTATT